ATGGCTCTGCATAGCAGAGCCATACAAAACAGTGTGCTTACAGTGAAACAGCACACAGCCTCTTAGTAAAACAGCACACAGCACACAGTTAACCCTTTGATCGCCCCTCATGTTAACCCCTTCCTGCTGAGTGCCATTAGTATAATGTCAGTGCTTTTTATTAGCACTGATCACTGTATTGGTGTCACGGGGGATGTCAGTGACACAGTAAGCCAGTTTCCCTCAGTGTCAGAATGACCGCCGCAGTCCCGCTATAAGTCGCTGATCGCTGCCATTATTAGTAAAAAAAAAAAAAATTCCAGTATATATACCACCATTTGTAAATAACTTTCACGTAAACCAATTAATTTACACATATTGGGATTTTTTTAACAAAGATATGTAGCAGAATACATTTTGGCCTAAATGTATTAAATTTATGACGAAATTTGATTTTTTCAAATTTTTTACTGGACATTTTTAAAGTAAAAAATATAATTTTTTTTCGAAATTGTTGGTATTCTTTTGTTTATAGCGCAAAAAATAAAAAACGCATTAGCGATCAAATACCACTGAAAGAAAGCTCTATTTGTGGGAAAAAAGGACGTACATTTAATTTGGGTGCAGCGTTGCATGACTGTGCAATTGTCAGTTAAAGTAATGCAGTGCCATATCGCAAAAAATGGCCTGGTCAGGAAGGGGGGTAAATCCTTTGGAGGGAAAGTGGTTAAACATATATTTTTATATCGGTAGTAAAAAAGCAATTATAAACAACAATTAAAAACATAAAGATTTAAAATCCCACCCATACAAGTTTTGAATCAATCCCAGTCAGCGATTGCACAGGGTTGAGGAGTCTCTTTGCATCTATGGGACAGCACTGTACCAAGCACTGCTGATGTCATATGAGAACAGGGGAATGTCACAATTCTTTTACCCATAAGGTAATTGTTTTCACTCGTATTGCCAAATGAAGCAAGTGGGAGAAGGTAAATAAAATCTGCTGCAGAGGCTAACTTAAAAAAATATACTAGAATATATTTTTTGCCAAACTATTATAGTTTACCTTAAAAATAGCCAGTCATCTACTGCAGTTGGTGATATAGGAACTTTCTTTTATCAGCAACCTGATTGACCCACCTGCTAATCTTCACCTTTTTCTTACATAGAAAATACGGTATCATTACAATGTGACAGGCAGGCCATTTTGTTTCTATTCTTTAAGCTCAGCTCAAGCATCTGTTTTATCTTTTCACTTATTTGGAGATAATATATTCCTGCAGGGAAGGGATGTAAAAGTTTAAATATTACCATGATTTATATAATGAGCTCACTTAAGCTGTATTGAAAGCATCTAACCTTTTAGCTGTGTGTCTGACAGTCCACAGCCTGCTCCCATTTCCTCTCTTTGCAAGTTTCTTTTGAGAGCTATGTAATTATTCACTGCGAACTTGAAGAGGCTTTGAAAACCACAATGCAGTCTACAAATGTATAAAATAGAGAAATGAATTAGAAATAGTTACATTTCCGTTCCGAATTGTTAAATGGTGTACATTTAAATTAAGTGGGTTGCTTATTATTACGTGTGGCTTGCCATTAGTTAATGGTGCAGTACATGAATTTAATACAAACTGTAACTCTTTGCATCTGGATCTAAGTACCAGTACCTCTTTACAAGAGGGATATTATCAGGGTTATGAATGGAAAAATGTCCTTTCCTGCTATTTTGGCTTGCTACACTGATGAACAGACTTGACATTAGTGAGTGCATTGCAGCGTTCATGTTTACGGGCCATAAGAATCATCATGCAGTTGTGTCATGACCTCAAAAAAAATGCTTAAGGTCCACAAAGTGCATTTTTCTGCTTTGGCTATGTCTGGGTGTTTGTTTGAAACTGAGGGTAATGAACACCACTTAGGTATATTCTCATTCAGAAAATGAAACATTGCATGAAAAAATTAGAACTAAAATAATTTGCTGAATATTCTGAATTTCCTAAAAACTCTCGAAGAGAAATATTAATGTGTGGGCACCCTTGGAGGTGTTACAGCACAATGGAAAAACAGCCAGGCTCTTGGAGTGACAAAAAAAGTCATCATGAAAGGAATGCATGAACCTACACCAGTACATGAAAATGTACCTTCCTAAAAGGCTGCTAGCAGGGATTCTGCTATTCTGTTAGCAGGCAACAAATAAGTGAATATGTGAATAAGTCTGACTCCATATTGTATATGTATAAAATCGTACAAAAATTTTCATACGAAGACCAATCGGCTGATAATCTGATTATTAGTACACAGCTTTCAGAGCAGATCACGGCAATTCATGTGACAATATCCGAAGGAACAAGCGTGAAAATGTTTCTCGTGCAATACGAGATCATACGATTTTCATTTAATCAGTACAGTAGTCGTCCGAAAATACAATACAAATACAATACAATACATTACTTCACTTTTTAATTTTTTTCTTTCGTACAAGAATTTTCATAGGTTTAGTGCCTTTTTCATTTTCAATATGGAGACTAGCATCCGAAAAAAAAGGGATGATTATTTGCCCGACATTCTGATCGTGTGTACGGGGCATTAGTGATCCACAATTGCTATGCTCCTGCTTCCACACTCTTTAACAAAGTTATAGTTCAGTTAAAAACACTATATATATGTAAATTGCAGCACTATTAATATATCATAAGTGGTTGTGGTGGTATTAATAAATGAATAATAATAATAAAACACAGTCCAGCAAAAGGTGCTCATTGATTCCCGGTGCAAATGGTAGAAATGCGCACTAACCAGAAGCGTATAGGTAATACGCATGTGAGTAAATATCCTGAAGATTCCCCTCTCCTTTCTGGTCTGATCACGGGAAAAACTGGAAAGAATGAAGATCAAGTGCCCTCGTGTGGTGAAGATGTGGTCCGGCAGGTCAGAGAAATCTTTGCCAAGATGTAGTTTCCCCCTCTCAGGAGCTGACACAGGAATCACTCAGGGCTGCCTGTGCTCGGATTAGCTGTGGTATTGTGTATGAGCATGAAAACACGTGCACACTCCTCAGGATAACATCTCGCGAGAGCATCAGATGTAAACAAAGGCAGATGTGAGCCGAGCATAGGACGGGATGTAACTGCTGCAGACAACAGCAGCACCTAAACTGCAACGCTGCTCTTGCTGGGAGCGGAGGCCGGGGGGTGCAGAGTGCTGGGGGAGCTCCATCGGGTTGTTGGTCGTTTACAGTTTAGGTGCTGCTGTTGTCTGCAGCAGTTACATCCCTTTATCAGCTAAAAACACTGTTACTGATTTGCAGTGATGGGACAATGATACCAAATGGAATGATGCTACTGTAATATATCAATTTATATCAATTTAGCACAGGACTCATTGTAGCTTTAAACGGACAAACTAACCTGAGTAGATAGAGAGATTAGGAATTGTGTATCTGCCTTGGCTATGTCCCCTGGTATCCCCTGGTATTACTGCCTTCCTCAGCTTTAAGTGCATCATCCTCCTTAGAACCAATGTCAGATAGACCAGGGCACATGCAAATTTGTCTGCTTCATTAATTGCTCACTCCAAGGAACACCATCAACGACACCAGTCCAGTTTGTGCCTAACGTGATGCTGGGTACTACTTGCAGACCTGATCTCTTTTCTATTAACCTTCTCTCAAAGACTGACCCAAATATGTCCAATTATTTTTTCCCCAGAAACACTATTAGAATTTACATGCTCCTCAATTCTGCTGCCACTAGATGTTTTTGAATTTGTATCTGAATGCAAATTCCATTTCAACCCAAAAGCACAAACCTTTAACCTTTTACTATTAAGTCTCATTAATGCCTGCTATTTCTCTATTGTTCCCATCATTGGCTTAATAAAGAGCACACAATTTTTCATAGCTAGCATACTGATAATTGTTAGAAATCTTCTCCTTTTATTGTCTGAAGAACTGTTTTTGGCTATAAACTGTGTCTGCAATTCTCTGTAAAAGTTCAGAACCCACAATCCATCATTATTTCTTTAGACATTTTAACAAGAAAGATGCTGATACACATTCTCATTATGTACCAAACGGCTGCTTAATAAAACTTCTAGGAGCTTAGATTCAGATCTATTGCTTATCAGAGCCAAAATTAGAGGCCTTGAGGAAACAAGATGATTGGAATTTGGAGAAAAGTGTTTACCAACTCACTTTTATAGGTACATGATATTTTCTTTACAGAGTAAAATGATCATTCAATCTGCCTTGTATGCTGATGATAAAAATTGTAACAAAATTTCTGTAAATAATTGTTAACATCTTTCCTTTATACATTAACTTTTTTACTGAGACTTTAGGAACACATATTGTTTTGCTACAAAACAATATTATAAGTGATAGTTTGCATGAATTCATAAAGGCCAAAGCTGTCAAAGAAATCTATTCTTTATAAAGAAGTAAGCAAAAGCTTAGAAAAAAAGGAGTGGCTGTGGATATAGTATACTTGGACTTTGCTAAAGCTTTTGACACATTTCCCTATAGACAGCTAGCGTGTAAGTTAAGGTCTTAAAGGCTTAGAAAACTCACACTGTAAACTAATAGGAAACTGGCTTAACCACTTGCCCTCCTGAGGATTTACCCCCCTTCCTGACCAGGCCATTATTTGCGTTAAGGCGCTGCGTTACATTAACTGACAATTGCACGGTCATGCAATGCTGAACCCACATTCAATTTACGCCCTTTTTTCCCATGAATTGAGCTTTCTTTTGGTGGCATTTGATCACCTGTGCGATTTTTATTTTTTGCTCTATAAAAAAAAGACAGACAATTTTGAGAAAAAAAACATATTTTTGACTTTTTGCTATTAACCATGTCCAGTAAAAAAAAAATGAAAAATCTAATTTCGTCATAAATTTAGGCCAAAATGTATTCTGCTGCATGTCTTTGCTAAAAAAAATCCTAATACGTGTAAATTAATTGGTTTACGTGAAAGTGGCGGTATATATACTAGAATTTTTTTTTTCACTAGTAATGGCGGCGATCAGCGACTTATAGTGGGACTGTGGCGGGCATTTTGACGCTGGGGGGGAACTGACTTGGTCTTACTGACATCCACAGTGACACCAATACAGTGATCGGTACTAATAAAAAGCACTGACACTGTACTAATGGCACTGGGCAGGAAGGGGGTAATATGAGGGGTGATCAAAGGGTTAAATGTGTGCTGGGAGTGTTTTACTAGGGGATGGTGTGTTGGGGCTTCACTGTAAGCACACTGCTCTGGATGGCTGTGCTGTGCACAACCATCCAGAGCAGTGTGCCCGAGCCGACAGGGAGGATGACTGTTAGTAAACAAAGCAGCCCTCCTCCCCATCAGAGATCTTCGGTAATCACTGGGTGCTGGCGAGTACACACCAGCCGAGATCAGGTGATTGACAGCAGTGCCCGCGAATGGCAGTGCAGGTAGGGCACTAGCACGGCCCCTACCTGGAAATGTGAAACCATGTATATATACGTGATTTTGCACACCCCTGCCACCCTGTAGCTGTATTTTTGTTCAGCGGGGAAGTGGTTAAAGATAGTTTCAGAGAGAAGGGATTAATGATTTACACTCTGAATGGTCTAAGGTTGTTAGTGGTGTTTCCCAAGTAGATTTAAACCTATTTGGGAATAAATGTAGTGTTTCTGTGTCTGCATATGACACCAATCATGTACTAGATTAAGACCCTACAAGTCTGTCTGTAGCTTTCAGGAATACCTGATAGTTTCATTGGGAAATTGTGGCAAGTGAGAGATAATGTTGATTAGGTGAAAATTGCGTATCTAGGGGCTAAAAGTATGTGTTCATCATATATTCTAGGGGGTAGGGCTGTGATGAGAGTGGAATTCACCACAAGAAAGATGGCCGCTCTGGGCAGTAGCACTGTCTGTGTGCGTGTGTGCTTGCTTGCACACACACAAACACTGACAAAAGCAGTTAGCTCAGTGATTCTTAGCCTGTTAATAGTGCTGGCCCAGTGTCACTGAGCAGAGTTTCCAGTCCAACCACTGCACCAGTAACACAGGCAGGTACAAGGATCAGCAGCAATGTGTTCAATGAAGTTGATGTTCTGTAACAGGCTCTGTGTAACTACAGAGGCTTAGCTGCTACACCTACCTGTGTGATAGGGAGCTCGGTAATGCTGGACTTGTGTTTTTAGCTCAGAATGGACAACTAATTCAAACCCAAACAAGCCAAATAGATTTTACTTAACCATTTGCCCTCCAAAAGATTTACCCCTCTTAATGACCAGGCCATTTTTTGCTATTCGGCACTGCACTATTTCAACTGGTAATTGCGTGGTCGTGCAATGCTGTACCCAAACAAAATTTATGTTCTTTTTTCATACAAATGGAGCTTTCTTTTGGTGGGATTTTATCACCAAGGGTTTTTTATTTTTTGTGATATAAATGAAAAAAAGACAGAAAATGTTGAAATAAAATGATATTTTTTACTTTTGGTTATAAAAAATATATAGTAAACTCAAAGTTAGTCATACATTTAGACCACAATGTATTCTGCTACATGTCTTTGGTATACAAAAATCCCAATACATGTATATTAATTGGTTTGCGTTAAAATGATAGCATCTACAAACTATGGTATATATATTGGAATTTACGCAGCTTTTATTTTCTGACTGCCTATCACATTTCTTGATGTGCTAAAATGCCAGGGCAGTACAAAAACACCCAAATGACCCTTTTTTGGAAAGTAGACACCCCAAGAAATTTGCTGAGAGGCATCTTGAGTTCATGGAACATTTTATTTTTTGCCACAAAATTTTTGACAAAAGTTTTGTTTTTTTTTTTTAACAAAGTTGTCAGGTAAATTATATATTGCTCTCACATGCCATAGGTATATGCGATATACCACCACAAAACACATTCTGCTACTTCTCCTGAGTATGGGGATACCACATGTGAGAGATTTTTAGGCAGCCTAGCCACATACACGCCCCCAAAATCCAATGACCACCTCGAGACTTTCAAAGGGCATATTTCCTCATATCACTTCCTCACATCCTATCAGAGTTTCCGAGGCTCTAAAATGCCAGGATAGTACAAACACTCCCCCCAAATGACCCCTTTTCAAAAGTAGGCATGGTGAGTATTTTGCAGATATCATTTTTGTTATTTTTGAAACACAAAGAAAAGAAAAAATAAATTTTTGTTTAATGTCTTTATTTTCCAAAAACTTGTGACAACAAATTAAATCTGCAAAATACTCACCATGCCTCTTAGCAAATACCTTGGAGTGTCTACTTTCCAAAAAGGGTCATTTGGGGGGGGGGGGGGGGTGCTTCTACTATCCTTGGCATTTCAGGACCAACATTGGAAGTTTATGCCAGACATCACCCACTTTCCTAACCACTTGAAGACCAAGCCTTTTTTGAAACTTTTTGTTTACTTGAAAAAAAAAAAAACTGTTTTTTTTTGCTATAAAATTGCTTTGAACTCCAAGCATTATATATTTTTTTCTTAAAGCAGAGGCCCTAGAAAATAAAACGGTGGGTGTTGAGATTTTTTATGTCACACAGTATTTGTGCAGCAATTTTTCAGTGACACTTTTTAGAATTGTAATGCACAAAAACACAATATATTGCCCAATTGTTTGAATATAAAAGATGATATTACACCAAGTAAATGGATACCAAACATGACATGCTTTAAAATTGCGCACGCCTGTGCAACTATGACAAATTACGTACATTTTTAATATCCATAGGCAACGCTATAAAAGCTTTTACAGGTCACCACATTAGATTTCCACAGGTCTAGTGCTAAAATTTCTGCCCTCGATCTGATGTTCACGGTGGTATCTCACATGCATGGTGCAATCTCTGTTTACATACCGCCATGGGACCGCCACTTGCATTTGCCTTTGTGTGCGAGAACGGGGATGGGGGTGGGGGGGTGATTTTTTTTTTAAATGCCTTATTTTGTTTTTTTTAAATTATTTTTACACTTTCCCATTCTTTTTTTCAATCACTTTTATTGTTATCACAGGGAATGTAAATATCCCGTGATAGCAATAGGCAGTGACAGACACTCTGTTCTTAGAAATCTGGGGTCTATTAGACTCTAGATCTTTCCTCTGCCCTTAAAGCATCTGATCATACCAAGATTGGTGTGATCAGATGTTTCCCAATTTTAAAATGGTGCTGTTTATATCTGGCAAAATAGAAATGATGAAAATAGCTTCCAGTCTTTTAGACCATAGAGATAATTGGAGGTATTCCAGTCTCTGACCAGGTCTGTTGTCAGCTAGCAGAACTGCTGGATGCATTTTTTGATTCCTCGGTAGCACAGGAGAGCCCAAGAAAACCTTGGAAGGTGGCAGGAGGGGTGGGGGAGTCCCTTCCCTCTGCTTTTAAAAGTGATCCAGCAGCTAATTAGCAGCTAGTATTGTTTTGTACATGAAAGCTGACTGCAAGCTGAAAAAATTGATACCAGAATGATGCCTTTCACTGCAGGCATCATCCTGGTATAACCACTCAAAGTTCAGTGATGTACCAGTATGTTGCTGATCCATGTTGGGCATATATGTAACAACAGAGAACACGGGCATATGATGAATCGGGTCTGTGGACCAATATGATCGGAATTCATTTGTTTTTGTAATGCCTATGTTGAAGGTTAGGGCCCAAAAAATTTTAACTTCAGAAACTGTGACAGGTTTCCATGCGAATTGTCTGGCAAGAGCTGAATTTGGGTGGGCGGCGATGTATTGTTGTACATATAAATTGCTTTGGTCCACAATCAATTCATACAGCATTCCATGAAAAACAGTGGAGAGGCTAAACACTAGTGCTGGCAGCAAATGGGGCTTATCCTGTTGACACTGTGTTTTTGGGGACACTATACAAAGGATGAACTAGTATAGTTCTGTTTGTGATCAATATATTGATCCGTACAAACACTATACTAGTAATTGCGGTGATCATCGACCTGTAGCTTGAATGCGATAGTGTGCAGGCAATCTAATGCTAGCTGATCCTGGCTGGGAGGAGCGCTAACTGACCCTGACGCTATCTGATGTTGCTAGTGGTAGGAATACAGTGATCAGTGAAACATTTTATATACTGATACTGTACTAATGGCACTGGCTGAGTGATGGGGTGATCAAAGGGTGAATAGGGGCTATCAAAGAGGTAAATGTGTCAGTCTAACACGTGTGTAAAATGTAGTGCTTTTATTCAGTGCCGTGTTTTGTTCTTCTCTCTCTGGGAGGCTTGGGGGGATACACGCATGTGCACGCACACCTGGAAATAGAAATCAACGTAAGATTACGCTGCTTTGCCCAGAGCCGCCGCTCGCCTGCACATTAATGGATGGGCAGGCGGCAAGTCGTTTAAAGAAAAAAATTCTCAATTTTTTAAAAATATTTTTTATTTTTTTCAAACATTATTTTTTTAATACTTTTATCAGAGTAGTGCAGTGTTACCATAGTAACATCGTACTACTCTGTGGAAGGGGGATGATCAGGGATTTATTTATTTTTTTACCCTTTGCATTGCATGAGCAATGAAGATTGTTGCTCTGCAATGCAAAGCTTGCTTTGAACTGCCATGAATGTGTTAAGTCCATGACAGTTCAGTTTAATAGTGATCTGTGATTGGCTCCAGCTGGTCACATGGTACAGGGTGCTGTGATTGGAACCCCTGTGTCATGTGAGAGCTGTGGACCAATCACAGCTCTCCAGGAACAGAAGCAAAGCTTTAATGAATCAGATTGATTCATAAAAGCTTTGTCATTGTGATCATGTGATCGCACAGCGATAACATGTTAACTGGGTGCAAATTACCAGGATTCTCATTCTGCTGTGGACACAGTGAGCATGGGGGGGGGGATGTTTGCTACACCACTCTGTGTTGGCAAAAGACCAGCGACGTACGGGTACGTCGCTGGTCCTGTAGCTGCTGCCTGTCCGCAGTAGCCAACTAGCAAGATCTAGGAATTCGAAGCTCCACACTTCTGTAAACTGTACAATCATAGTCTGGCAACATTCTTTCAACTAATTTCTCCTTTTTAAAGTGTTACTAAACCCACAACAGTAAAATCAGTCTGTATATGTAGTTAAGCATGCTTGTTATACTCACTGTGGAACCTAAGGGGTTAATCCTCTGCATTGTGTAAAAATGCTGTTTGATCCTGAATTCTCTGATCCTCCCCCTTCTTCCAGTGCCCCCCTCTTATCTCCTGATAAGATATATCGTGTGGAGACACTCTGCACATGCTCAGTTTGGTGCGTATTGCTAGAGAGTTTTTTTTTTCTTGGGAGAGTGCATGTGATCAGCACAGGGCCAATCAACACTGCCCAGACAGAGGTCAGGGGTTATGCATCCTCCT